GGCGTAGCTAGTACTCCGTAGTAAATTTACTATGACCTAATTCTGTTACAAATTAACTACAAATTAGCTCCGTAGCTAATTTTCGTAGCAAATCAACTATGGGTAATATTGTAACAAACATTTCATAGTGAATTTACTACGATGTACCAATTATGTTGTCGTAAATTTACCACAACCTACTTCTGTTGCAGAAAAAATGTGACGGAATACGTTTCATAGCAACATCCATAACAATTCAACTACAAAAATGTGACATAATTAATTCAAATAAATACAAAAATGACTCGACTTTTTCCAAACCAAATTAATAGCAAAATCAACATTATGAAATGACATTAAATAGTAAAAGAAATTACATAAACTCTTAATAAAAACATAGTTTATCATCAAATAAAATTTCACTTTGTCCAAAACACCAATCAAATTAATCTAATGGTCAAACTCAACTAGAAATCCTAAACATGCAATCAATAAAAAATATATCAGTAATTATTTGTGCTTCTCATATCATTGACCATGTTTTTCACATCACCTAACTTCATCCTTTGTTTATGTATGGTTTCCTCTAGTTTCTGGATCTTTGAATAGAGATGATGATTTTCCGAACTATTATCTAGTGAAATGCATATTTGAGAAGAGTTTTCAAGAAAAATGGATCTGCCATATGATCCAAATCCATAAACTCTTTTCTTGTAATCATGTCCTCCAACAACAACTTGCTTTCAAGAACTTCCTCTCCTAATAGTGCCAAATCCACACGTCGAGACCCTTCGAAAACTAAAATTAAGGTTATCAAAAACTTCCAACCATACTTATAAAATATTATTTGAAAGACAACATTATCGGAAGCAAAAACATCCCGGCTTTAAATAGATAACATTTTTATTTTTTTTATAAAAGTCTTCGAGAGAATGTCATGGTACATGGCTTAATGATAATTCAAAGATATGAACTTCACATAAACATCATCCTTTACTTTTGTTAGGGTGAAGTTACTAACCTAACCCATAAGGCTCCTTATGACACCAATGGCTGGAAATTAACTTCATAACATTGGCTACAAGGTATTTGGTCAAGAATGACAATTTAAACTTCAAACCACACCCAAAGTATGTTGTCAAAAGTGAAAATCCATTGTATATTGTTGTGAAGATAATTTATGGATTTAGGGTTTTTAGCTTGCATTACACAACACCTAGAGAATATCAAGGACTCAAAATAGATGTCGGAATTCATCCATACCCACTGCCATGATGGTAGTGGCGGCCGGCGACAACAGCCACCACCTCCACGGTGGTGGTGGTTCTAGAGTGAAATCGAAGCAAATAAAGAGTAAGAAAAGGATTTGAACTTACATACCTTCTCCTTCACCAACGATCATTAAAATAGCCCTTCATCTCGATCGTATCCTCCCTCTTGTCGATTTCTTCTTGTCGATTCCTACATCCCACTCTTTTCTCTCGGCTGTGGAGCACAACGAACAAAGAGGAGGCCGCCAATGGAGGAGCCAAAGCTTGGGTCGATTAGGGTTGATGTGGGGCTAAATATCGATCGAGATAGAGAGTTTCGGTCACCAGAAACGAGCCCAAAAGGAATCCCGTCAAATGCTAAGGATTTATGTGATTTTTCATTTTAGCCCCCCGATCATTCCCATAATGACAATTCCTACCCTCTAAACAAAATCCTTGATAACAATAGTTCTGGTTTTTGACACTTTTAACCCCTAATCCCTTAATACTTTTCATTATTGATTCTTAAATGCTATTACTCACAATGGTTTTATATTTTTCTTAAATTATCCATTTATTTAATTAACAAATTTACATTATTATTATTACCATCATTTTATTTTATTTCATTTTATTATTTTATTTTCTTTATTTATTATTTAACCACCTCCAATTTATCATAAGTCTTCTATTTGAGTATTCACTGGATATCGGGTGTCAAACTAGCCGGAACACTGCCTATTGGGAACACTACCTATTGGGAGTCTTCTTAAATGGACTCAAATAGGAATTAAAAGCTGATGTACGAATTCACAAACCTAGTACTGTTTATAACGCCATGAGCCTCGCTTTTGAATTCGAGTCCAAGGTTACCCACACCTGACCCGGGAAGTCAATAACTTGGATTGCAAACTCAAAACCTTTATCAACTGACCCAAAACCTGTTACTACAGTTGTTACTCCAACCTTTAATTACTCTAAACCGCCTATCCGTATATCAGAGGATGAGAGACAAGCCCGATACCTTAAAGGTGAATGTTTCGGATATGGGGAAAAGTACGGACCGGGACACCGATGCAAAACTGGCACCCTCAAAGTACTTGAGATCAACGATAGTTTGCGTGAATTTATGCAGTTTTTACCCTTTTATCATGTAAAAACTTTTAATCTTGTATTTTTTTTTTTTTTTGTCGAGTTTACCCTTTTGTGGTTTTTAGGTTCATAAAAACGGATGTTTGCAAAAATAAATAAATGAAATCAATTTTATCCTTTGGTTTATTAAAGTCTTTACATTTAACATAAATGATCGGTTTTACTATTTTTTTTTTTCTTTTACATAAAAGCCCTTAAGTTTGGCAAAAAAATTCAGTTTTACCGGATAAATTTGCAAAAATCGTTGAATTAGAAGAAAAAAATGCAAATTTAAGGCATTAATAGACATAAAATACAACTTTAGGTAAAACTAATGTCCACAAAAACTTGCAAACATATAGGTTTTTTATGGCATTTGCCTTTTTTTAATTATTATAGCTTAAAATAATTTTTATCATTAAAATTTTGAACTAGTAAATGTATGTTTGTTGGATGGAATTGAATGGATCAAATAATTGAATAAACAAGATAATATAATTCTTTATTATTATTTCATCGTCTTAGTCAACGTTGTTGGATATAGTTGAAAAGATGATTGAATGGATTGAAATTATTTAAATGATAAAAATACCCTTAATACAGAATACATTTGACTTCAATTTGGTGTTTTTTGAAGTATTTAACTTGTTGCTACATTTATGGAAAATGGATTGGAACCCAAAACCCATGGGTTTAAACCCAGAACCTATGATCAGTGTATGGGTTGAACCCAAGAAACCGACAAACCGACCTCGGAACCCGAGAAACCGAACCGACCAGAAACCGATCCTATTAGGTTCTAAAAACCATAAAGCAGTTGGGTTGGGTTTGGGACCACAACCGACCCATGCACAACCCTATTTTCTATTAAGAGGTTCGGTTGAGGTCCAATGCGCATCGAAAAACACCACAATCAATCGAACAAACAGGATGTGACCATGCCCCTACCAAACTATTTCTAAGATTTTGGCGGTTCTTGCTTACCTCAAATGCAACATGGTTGCTACTAAAGTCTGGACTCACAATTTAAGAAAGGCTTCAATATTAAATATTAGAGGTGGGAATCGGTTTCAGTTTATGGGTTTTTTGGTTTCCTTGAATCGGTTTCCACGGTGTGAGTCGTGAATTCGTGAGGATTATGAGTTGTAAATACTGAATACTGAAAACCATAAAACGGTCTAAGGTCTAAAATGTATTTTACTTTATATTGGTTATTTAATATTTTATTTAATGTATAAAATATAAAAATAATTTTAGTTAAGTAATTAGTTAATGCAATTCAAAATTTCGGTTTTAAGGGTTTAAACTTTACTTGAGAAACCTCCAAACACTTAAAATTGCATACTGGAATAATATTTATGGTTTTTATATTATAGTATAATAGCTATGACCTATGATCTTATAGCAAATTCTGTAGCAACATAGCTACGGATTTTGACTCCGTAACAAATGTCGTAGCAAGCTAGTTACGGACTTAGATGCGGTAGCAAATTTTGTAGCAAAATAGCTACATATTTTGATTCCGTAACAATTTTTGTAGCAAAGTAACTACAAACTTTAATCTGTAGCAACAGTTGTAGCAAAATACCTACGCCTTATAATTTTGTAGTAAAGATCTGTTTGGACCACTCAAAAACTTGAGGATCCAAAGCAACTGGTGTATAGTGGTAACATGAGGATTGGTCTTAATCAAAGGTGCAATAAACTATAGTGGATGAGATGTCTATAGGGTAGGACTATAAGAGTATGTCTAAAAGAGTCCAGATAGTATGTTTTGCTATGGAGGACGTTGCTGCTATTTTTCCTTGTTAAGTAACAGTGGGCATTGAGATTTCCAATGTTTTTTCTATTTATAAAAAATCCCATTCATAAAAAGCAACTTTAGGAATCGGTCTAGACTGATTTGTAGCATAAGGTGAACAACAAAAATATCAGGAGTAGAAGATGCTTATACCCATTATAAACTTAAGACTTGAGATGAACTCTTTAACAATCAATTCATGAAGAACCAAGTCAATAGTAGGAAGCATAGTACGATGAAGGATTATTCTATATAATCCTTTAAATTCAAATCGTAATGCCATAAGAATGAGCGAAAATGTTGCTCTTCTCTCCTAACAATGGAGGGTCAAGATGCCTTTAACTCAACAGATTTTGTAAAGGTCAACTGATCCCACAAATAAGACAAAAAAACATAAACATCTTGGACACTCGTAGTATTATGTTGGAGTGATTGAATATATGACTCTAACTAGTACCACTTATCAAAATTAGACTAAGTGTACATTATATTTAAGTGATTGCAAACTTCTTTAGTTGTTTCGTATTTCACCAACACAATGCTAACAAATTCGATTATAAATTTTTTATCCAAGTTATAATTTTATGATGTATCAAACAAAGTTGCATAGTTAGCTGCTTTGCCATCATAAATTTACCTAATGTACAAGTAACACATCCATCTAGTTGAAGACTAATGCACTGCAGAGAGTCGTCCTTATGAGCCATACTGAGTTATTGACAGTAAAAAAAAATAATAAAAATACCAGTAGCAAATACATTTGAATAAGTATCAATCTTACTTTAACGGAAAAATATCATCAACAAAATACGAACTTTAGATATGTTTTTCTTCGTTTCCTCTTTTAAATTTACAAAAGTATCGCACCAAAGATGATGAAGCCATACAAACAAATGTAGTTTTTGCTTGCTAAGTGTAATAACAAATTGAAGCATTGACTGAATGTTAACATTTGAGCTCACAAATTTACATAATATTAATGTGTAACCTCACTATGAGAAGCCTCCATCAACAAAAATTATGAACCCTAATGAAAAACGAAAAAAATAGAAAAATAATAGAAAATAAAGAGTGATACAAAAATAAGTAAGATATTGCCTTCATCATTTCAACATCTGTCATTTCCATATTCTCTTTTTCATAGTCCATACAGGTCCCATTGGTTTTCTTGATTGGTATTTCCTTCATACTGGGTGGCTCATAGTCGAGGGCATTATCCTCATTTCTCAGGCTTTCATGAACAATGGTTTATTCAAATTCGTCATGAGATATATTCATTGAAGGCGACGATAAAAACCTGCACGGAACATAAGAAGATATCTATAACCAAATTTCGTTCTTTTTATTTCAGAGATTGAAAACAAAACAGAGCTTTATGATCTTTGCTAATAAAGCATTTGCAGTTGAGACTCACTTCTTCAAGAATGAAGTGCTTTTTATACACAAAAAAAAAAAGAAAAAAAAACATTAATACACTCAACTTACACTATTTGTAATGTGGAGGTTGAGCAACGAGATCATTTGTTTGTTAAATGTGAGGTTGTTGCTAGGAGTTGGTTTGAGATTTTTAAATGGTTGGAGATTTCACAAATTCCTTTTGAATCCATTCCTGATTTGTTTGTGTTGGTGGATCAGTTGCATATTGCTTCGAAAAAGAAAGTTGTCTTGGATACTGTGGTATGTACTTCTATTTGGTATATCTGGAGGTTCAGAAATAAAAAAGTGTTTGTTGGAGGAAAGATGAGGCAGAGTGAGATTGTGGACTCTATTATCCAATTTTCTTATCTTTGGTATAATAACAAGAATAGCAAATGTATCATAGATATGACAAATTGCTAGTGAGGCTATTTCAGAAAAAAACAAAAAATACACTCAACTTACAAGAGGTGCCATTGAAGAATTTTATCAAACACTTGGTGTTCATAAAAATAAAGAACACAGATCTGTTGAATTAAGGGCAGTTTTATGTTATTCATTCTTTTTCTTTTCTTTCTTGTCCGGTATGTGCTAAGAGAGTTTCATCTATGGATTATCATTCTATGCACCTTCAACCCCTGAATTTATGCGTTATTTAAAATAATTGAATATGTACAAACCAACCAAAAAAACACTTGTGTAATTATTGCTAAGTTAGTCACATCTTAATCAAATAGAAGAAATGGACACATCATACATGAGATTACATGAAACAAGAAATTCAATAATTCGAATTGAAATATTAAGCAAGCAACTCTGACAACAAGTCAATATAATGATCAGATAATTAAGGTAGTGAAACATGTACATGATTAGGAAGAAGGAAACAAGTGTCCGATGTAATCTTACCTGTGCTATATAGCTGACTTCAAAATGAGCCAAACTGCACATGTGAATTCAAATGTTTCTCTAGAACTGCCATCCCTGTAGGAGATTACAACAAGTTGTAAATCGGAGAGTAATGTAAGTTTTTTGTTGGATCAAACATGTTAATCCGTTACTAATAACCAAAGGAGACACCATATACCTCTTCTTGTTTGGTCTTTATGAAAGAGTTTGGGTCTTCCGTTGCATGACACAATCCAAAAGTTGTATCTATTAACTTTAGCTCCGGAGTAGTTGATTGCCCATTTGTGAAAACTGTTATTTTTGGACAATTATTGATTTCCAAAGCATCTAACAATGGCCATTCAAAAGCCTCCTTTCCTAGGCATATTCCCTTGAGATTTGGAAGGTTGTAAAGTGTTATGGATTTTAGACAAGGGAACACAACCTCAGTAGTAGTCGGTCTGGTTTCGGAATCTTCAACTTGTTTGACAATCACATCCATACTCTTGCAGTCAGTTATTTGTACCTCTTGGAGCTGCAATAGACTACCAACCATGCAACCAGTGAAAACGTGTCCAAGAAGTGGACATTTATTAATTGAGACCTTTGTAAGGTTTGGAAAGTTCAACACTATCCACCGATTGCTCTTCCACATATGTTTTAGTTCATAAAATCCACCCAAAGTCACCTCTTTTAGCTTCTCAAATACCACAACAGATTGTGTTTCAATATCCACATCTTCATTTGTCCCTTCTGCTACTTCAAATACCTCCTCCGTTACAGAATCATAGGCATTGGTAATAGATAGATTTTCAAGATTCTTCAAATTAAGCAACTCCTTGCATGGAAAAATTATGCGGCTTTTCAACAAGTTGTCACTCTTTTGTGCATCTACTTCAACTAAATTTGAAAAAGACCAAGGGAACTGAAGTAGTTTTATCATATCTGGAGTAGAGCACATAGGGAGTTGAGTCTGCTTAGAAAAAACAAACATAGATCATCTCAAACACTACAATTATAAAGGACAAATACATTTAGTATATAAACATAGTAAAGGATTGCAAGTTCTATTATTTTTAAACGAGCCAACATGTATTTCCAATCAACAACCTAGTTTATGGCGCTGCTTACATTATTTTCTGTGAAGATGAGCACTGTGAAGAAAATTTCTAATTTATACATTGCATTTGTTTAAACAATTTAGATTTTATCGATGATTGTCGATTTGTTTAAACAATTTAGATTTTATCAATGATTGAGTCTTTTTAAATAAAAGTAAAAAAATTAAATATTTGTGTTTGTGTGTGTGTGTGTGTGGGGTGGGCGGATAAAATAAAAAGTAAAACTGTAAAAGTTAAGTGTTTTGGCTACTTCATATAGGTAGTTTTTCATGTACTGAATGTTTACATCCAACTTTTTTAGGAAAAAAGATAACTATGTTATTGTATTTTTATTGCATTGTCAAATACAACAAATGATATATGGATGATATACTTATACTTTTACAATCATCTCAGCAATACTATTTTTGTCAAATTTAGGTAATAAACGCTACATAAATGTTTAGCTTGTAGAAGATGAGAGAGAAAAGAACAACTTGATTAAGTAACTACTAACATCACAATACTGTAAAATATGTGAGATAATTGGATTAAACTGGATAAACGGTATAAATGATTTAATTACAAAATATAGCTCCATACAAAAATCTATTTGTTAATAGATATGAGTGAAAATATGTAAAATAAGCTAATGCTTTTATTTCCATCTATTTTGTGTTTTTTTCTTAACCGAATGAAGTTGTTGGTTCTAAGTTCCTAATTAATGATTTATGAACTTTCAAATGATTTGAATAAGAATGAACTTGCCAAGTATCATTTGTAATACACAAGAAAATAATTTTTTATATTCATATATTTGATATAAATTCTTAAATCTTCTGTTTTCAAGGAAAGAAACTATTACGTGAATTTTAGAAGCCCTTTTTCTTAGGTGCTTATTTTGTTATGCCTTTAGTCGAATACTTGCCCAGACTCCAAGCCTCCAAGCCACTAGTTAGATTTGTTTGTTTTTTTTAGCAAAAACTGCAAATTTGGTCCCTGTGTCGATTTTTGTGGTTATGGTCCATGTGGTTCCAAAATTGCAAAGTTGGTCCTTTTCACTAGGTTTGTATCAAAATTGAAAAGACTGATTTACGGTTTTAATTTCTTTTGTTACATTTTCTTTAATATTAATTAAACATTAAAAAATGCAAAAAAAGAAAATAAACCCCTAACCCCCACCCAACTCCTCCTTTCTTTACCTTCTTTCTCTGTGATGCTCTTGGGGTTGCAAGCCGGTGAAAATAGGGACAATGTAAAGAAGATTCTGATCAAAACTAGTATTGTATATGTTCAGAAATGTTGGACATGGAAAAAACCACCCACAGTGAATGCGTCAATTGGGCCTTTAATTGTCTTTAGTTCATCTAACTTGATTTAAATATTAAATTGCTAACTTATGAATTAGTGAATATAACATCTTTCATAACATAAGGGATAACTTAATATCTTAGGATTGAAATATTGATTTATAATAAAAAAATAAGATTGCATATTTTCATAACTTTTTATGGATATAAAAAAGGGAAGTGGTTATATATGTATCTTCATTTGGTTTTGTTTTATGTTTCCTTCTGGAATACAAATATGAACCTGCCACCTAATTTTTGTAAGCAAATAATATGTTGAACATCATAAAACGACATGCTGATCACCTGGTTAAATGATGAAGTAAAGTGATAACATACCTCATCCTCATGTGTAACATTTGTCAAATGGAAGTTGAGGCCATATTGATCAAGACTATGCTTGCCTAATCCTGTATGTATGTAGCTGAGCTTCGGAGTCATGGAGTGACCAGATGTGAAATTCATCATTTGTGGGCAGCCATACATCTCAACCTTTTCCAATGCTTTCCACCTGAACTCATTCTTCCCCAAGAAGAAACCCTTGAGATCTGGTAAATCTACAAGTGTAAGGGACTTGAGACGGGGGAAGACTATTATAGATTTAGATGTTTCTGTGTGCTCTCCCTCTTCCTTCACAATCACTTTCATTGCCTTGCATTGTTTTACAGTCAGTTCTTTGAGTTGCTTGAGGCTTTCAAGTGTGGAACTTGTGAATATATATTCCAAAACTTCACAGTTATAGATTTGCAATTTCGTAAGGTTGGGCAATTCAAGCCAGGTCATATCTGCGGACCTTGGGATGGTGATTGCAGTACAAGTATCATCACTTCCATCACCAACATTCGTAGTACTATCAACACTATCTTTGTTTATTTCTTTACTTTCAAATATCTCCACCATTGACTTACATTTTGATATTCTCAACTCTTCAAGCTTATTCAGTTGTCCCACTACATTGGATGGAAACACTCTTGATAGGGCAGGACAATTCCATATATGTATGTTTTTGGAGTATTGGCATAAGAACCAAGAAGCAACACTGACTTGAGAACACTACAACAACACATGAAAAATCAATGGATCTATTTAAATTAACAAATCTTAGCTGTTTGCTACACACATACACACTACAATTTAACATATCATTTGTTTCTAAAAGTGTGGTAACAAACACGAGTGCTTCCCACAACTAAGGTAATTAAGTAACAATGTGGACAATGTAAGTTGAAATCCAAAAGAGCAATATACAGAAAAATCACAATATTTCGGCCATTTTTTGCAGTTTAACAATTCCATTTCAGTTTTAGCTCATCAAACCTACCCAAGTTTGAAATTTCTTTCTATATTGACAAATTTGACCTAGTATAGCAGGTTAAAGTGGTCATAAGTGAAAAGGTTGTGAATGTTTAGTCCACTTAATTTCACCAAAGCCACTCAACTTTGACAAAATTTTCTATTGTGACCACTTTAACCTGCTATAGCAGGTCAAAGTGGTCAGCATAGAATATTTCTCCAAACTTGGGTGGATTTCATAAGGCAAGATGAAGTAGAGTGCCATGATTTATGAAGAGAAAATAAATGGCATTGGACTTTTGACAAATTCCAGGTCACCACTGGTGTGACACCTCAGCAGAAACTTTTATGAGGTTCTGATGGTGACAGACAGAATCAACGACGTGAAGAGAGTGGAAGGATCATAAGAAGCATACTTCTGAAAGACACAGAATCAGCATAAGGATAGAAGACCACCTAGGCCACAAAATCTGGGCCTACATGTGAAAAATTCAAATGGTTTACAAGACAAAGTTCATGTTGGATTTTATGGTGAAAAAATGAATTAAGAGAAATCAGACCGTGGTGTTTGGACTCCACTCCATTAAGGAAGACGGTTTGTCAAATGACCAAAATACCCTTGTTATATATATAACCAAATAACTAAAAACAAGAAAACAGTTGTATGCTATGCTTTATATTGTTGGCAAGAGAGAACAAGTAGATGGTGGATGAAAGAAAAGGTACACTAAATCAATCATAAAAGTGGCCTTAATTATATAGGCTTACAGGAGATTTTGAACAGCTACAAAAAAGAAAATAGAAACAAGAAAAAAACAAAACTGTCAGGGTGCTAATTAACACAATTAATTAGCATTTATTCAAATTAAAACTTGAAAATGAACAGACTTTGATTAGCAATTAATCAACATATATATTTCAGGCGTGTCTGCAGGAACACGTGTATAAACACATACAAGCATGATATAAACCATAAAATATACAAAATATTGTAACTCTGAACTTTACTTGTCTGTATTGAAGAATGGATAAATGCAAGAAATAGCAACGCATTTCCATTTATTCTTTTATTAAAGCATCCTACTTTCATTTCTTTCTATTATAGCAACGGAAATCCTTTGTATTTAGATGACACTGCTATAATTGGGTTGGTTTCTTAAAGTACAATGCTTTAATAGGAAAAAGTGAAAGTAAGATGATCTGATAAGCAAATCGATCAAAATAAATTGCTACTTTCATATAGGTACTTTCAAAATCCACCCATTTATAGCATTCTACTTTCAACTTTTCTTTTCAGGCCATTGTAGCCATGTATAATTGGGTATATTTTTCAAAGTATGATGCTATAACTGGAAGAAATGAAAGTAGGATTTTATAATAAGAAAATAAAGGAAAGTATGTTGAACAAAAAAAATGACTAAAATATACCCAATTCAAAATTAATCTAGCGCCATGATTTATGAAGAGAAAATAAAAGGCATTGGACTCTATAACCCATTACCCCCTCAATGTGAGAAAATCAATATGCTTATATTTCCGTACTTGCCTGATTACATGCATCATCTTCTTCATGTTAATTTATTATACATCTATGAATTTTCATTAATTGTATATTGTAAAATCTATCTTAATTCTAATATTCTAAATAGATCGAAAGCATTTTTAGAACAAAGATTTTTTCAAGGGAGTCCTTTTCAGTAAAGACTTGGTTAATTATACTTGATAAATTAAGATCTAGAGATATTTCCAAAATTGACAATCTTGACATTTGACTCTATGATAGTTCAATGTCATAAAGTTAATATTTTAAATATGACACTTTTCTGGTACAATAGAAGTTGTAAATAGGAGCCTTTTGCCACATATTGTATTTATATATTTTCAGTTGGCACACTAGATACAGTTATGTAAAGTTTCATATTCTTTTGTTTGATGTCAGCAAAAAAAATATTTCTTTTAAACAGCAAACTGAATTTTATTAAGCCAAACTAGCACATGCTAGGAAATAAAAAAAAAATGCATCAATAAAATCATTTTTGTTCTATTTTTCATGACTTATATACATCAATCAATCAATTTTTTTCTCTCCCTCACAATCCGGTCTTATCATAAATCAATTTAATGACCTACGCAAATGAAAAAACTATTAAATATTATGCATGTAGTTATTCATTTTTGTCTTTCCAGCTTCAGAAGTATTAGCTTATGGAGTTATATCACACAACTAATGGAGAAGAGAATATTAAAAAAAGAAATAAAACAAATAATTGAATACATAAAGGTGCTAATTAACACAACTAATTAGCATTCATTCAAATTAAAACTTGAAAATGAACAGACTTTGAGGTACTTTGATTAGCAATTAATCAAGATATATTTCTCATGCAGAATCAAAGTATGACACTGGAAGTGGACATGGTGGTCATTATAATGGGTTAGTCTCATCTTCAAAACTAAAAAAGACAAAGAATATGAGATATAAACAAATGCAAGCATGATATAAACCATAAAATATACAAATATTTCACCTAGATTTATAGCTATGAATTTTACTTGTCTGTACAAAAGAAGGGATAAATGCAAGAAATAGAAACGCATTTCCATTTATTCGTTTGTTATAGCATCCTACTTTCATTTCTTTCTATTGCAGAAATAGAAATCCTTTGTATTTGGATGACATTGCTAGAATTGGGTGGGTTTCTGAAAGTACAATGCTTTAATAGGAAAAAATGAAAGTAGGATGCTCTTAGTTATAAGCAAATAAATGGAAGTAAATTGCTATTTCTATCATTTTAGCCTTTAATAAATGACACAAGACCACCATATTGGTGCTATAATTGGTATATTTTTCAAAAAAAAAAATGCATCAACAAAAAAGACATCAATAAAATCATTTTTGTTCCATTTTTCAAATTACCTAATAAAAAATCAAGAATAATGTTGATATGACTTATATGCATCTATCAATTAATTTTTTTTCTCTCCCTCACAATCCGGTTTGAGTCCACCATCCATTTTAGTTAATTTAACTAAATTAAACTGGATACAAAACATTTTAAATGATTTATAACCATGCTTATCATAAATAACTTTGTGACCTATGCAACCAAATAAACTTAAAAAAAAAAAAAAAAAAAAAAAAAAAAAAAGGTATGTAGTTATTTATTTTGTGTTTCTAGCTTCAGATGAATTAGCTTAGGGAGTTATATAAAGCAGCTAATGGAGAATAGAATATTAAAAATAAATATATATAAATAAAACAAATAACTGAATGTGTAAAGGATCCACTAGTTAAGAGAAATGATACCTTGAACTGATCATGGATGGAAGTAGTTGTGATCGTAGTACCGCCATCGATGCTCTTTAGGCTTGGCAGAGAATAAAGCTTGAGATAATTAAGAAGAGGGAAGGAGGAGATGGTGTTTGTGTGAGTAGAAGATATTATTTCTTCATTTTCATCATTAATATCTCTATTTGAAACAACTTCTTTAATACCATCACAACTGCTTATCCAGACCACCTTTAAGTTGGGAAGAAGTTTGCCCATGACAGGTGAAAATAAGTACTTTATGCTTTTGCAGGAACCCATGGATATGTCGGTGAGGTTGTGGAATGAGTAGGATTGTGATGGGTTTTGAGGAATTACAAGTTTCTTCCAATTGCACTTCCACACATCACTCATCCTCTCCATATTTCGTAAATTTAAATACTTGAGGTGGGGAAGTAGTAGAGGTGGTTGATGATTATATTTATGCAGAGTTGTTGCGAAATCTGTGCTGCTGCTGCTGTTGCTACCGGAACTCTCTATCTCAAACACCACTTCAACATCCTTACAGCCGCTTACATAAAGTGTTTGAAGGTGATTAACGTGAAAAGGTTTGGGATGAATTGAGGATTCAACGTCAGGAATATTAGCATACACCTCTGAAATGATCTCTGCCTTGGATATAACATTAATCTGCACATATCTCAACAACAAATATAATTACAAATCTCCTACAAATAAATACGTAAAATACACGCACTTACACAAATACGTAAAAATGATATTTTTCACAAGAAATTACAAAATTGGTCCCTGTGTTTATCTCTTCTCTTTTTTTTTTTTTGGTTTAGGTCCATTAAATTGTTTACGAATTTTGGTCCCCATTAACTTGCTTATAAATATGCAAATAATAATATGAAGGTTAAAACAGATCCACACTTAGCAATGTGGGAAATATAGACTACTTCTCCAAACTTAAAACTGTTGTAGTGACATTGGTAATTTGTCCATGTTTTTAAATTTGGAGTTTTAACTTTTTCTTTATCACATACTGAAGTGTAAAGATTTAGAAATAATTTGTCAGGATACATCTCTTCACGCAAATTAATAATCTTATTGCACTTTAAAGTGTGAACACATCCAAAGAATTGTGTAGAATTGTAGTGTGATATGTATATACGTGTATGTACGTACAGAGACACATATACATAAGTGCTCTAGCATCAAAATAGAAATAAAAATAGAAAGCTCAATGACATCACATACCTCTTGGTTGTTCTGAACCAATTCAATGTTTCCCCTGGTTTCTTCCCAAGTTCTCCTACCATCGATACTCACATTCATAACTGTTTTCACATCAGAATTGGTCACGGTCGGTGTGAATACGTTTACAAACCTCTCACACTTATCTATTCCTATACTTTCAACAGCTTGAAAGGTACGGATGAGGATATCAGAGCTACTTTCACCTTTCATCCTCCACAACTCTCTTAGCTTCCCCAAACCATATACACGGATGTATCTCAAGTTGCTACTGTACTCTTCAAACTCACCAACACAACTCATGTCGATGTTAAATAACAATTCAATGCTTCCACAATTAGAAACATGAAGCTCTTCCAAACGACCCAGCAAAGACATGGGATTGGTTGGAAACAGATTCACAAGATTATCACATGTTCTCACTCTAATCTCTCTCAACATGCAGGCATCAACGTCTTTGCTACTTATAACTTGATAAGGCCATATCTCTTTCAGCTTATCCATCCGCCAAATCTCCAATTTCTCCAACTTAGGAATCAACATCTGCACAATAATTAAGACATGTTGATAATCAGTAGTGAAATCAAACTTAAAATAGTTTGTTTGGGGGATCACAAATTCACAATCTAATCAATACAGATTTTCATTACAAAGAAAATCTATGAAACTGTCAACATAAATCCGAATATAGAGGTACCTGTTTGTTAAAGAATGGTTGAATTGCAGAGGCATTACTGGACATAGAAGATGTTGCAGATGTTTTCTCTGGATAAATGCTACTGAAATTAGGAAGGCCATCAAGTTCCAACTCCACCAGCTGTGGTAGCTCAATTACATTAGCAGTGTTGCAAAGACCTATCAAATCTGGTAGCATCTCCAAACTTAGAAACTTTAGCCCCTGAAACTTAATTGCCCCGGCTTCACCATTCTCACTCTGTGCAAGTACTTCCAGAACAGGGCACTGTGAAACTGTGAGGCGCTCAAGCTTCACCAAACCATTTGCAATAGGGACTGTGAAGAGGTACCTCAAGTTTTCACACTTGAACACATCAAGGACTCTTAGATTATTAAACCCCTGCTGAGGAAGATGAACTGATTCCATTAAAACTTCTTCAAGATCGTTCATACCATCCACCTCCAAATAAAGCACCTCAGTTTTCTTAAACAACTCATTGATGCTAGATTCCAATAACTCATCTTTATTAGTGACCAACCTCAATGTGTTTTCAAATGAGTGCATATTTTTGTCAGTATTGTCTACTAAACCACATCCCATAGAGATCCTGAACCTTTTAAGTTTAGTAAACAGCATATTCGCGGGTGTACTGTTGTTGTCGAAGAACTCAACTTCTAATGCAGAAAGATGATTCGAAAGCTCTGCTAATTCAACACGATTGCTGTCTGTGAAGCAAATAGCCTTTTTATCATCAACTCTCATATAAAGCTCTTCAAGCTCGACCAAATTTATCAAGACACCATCATCAATACGAAGATTAAGACACCCTGTCAAATCCAGTAGCTTTAGCTTCTTCAACTTTCCGATTGTGGATGGTAACTTTCTGATGCCACAATGAGCAAAACTGAGCACTTCCAAATTCAAGAGTTCACCAATAACAGAGCAATCAAACATCAATAGGCACTGGTGGACAATGAGTGTTCGTAGCTTGGTGGAGCATTCAGGTGATCTGGGAAGCAACGGATACTGCATTTTTTCATAGGCTATAACTTCAAGATCTTCCATTTTTTTATAAAAATCTTCAGGAAACTTAAGCGACTTATCTCCATGCATAAGTCTCAAAAGTGCAAGGTTTGGGTATTTAAAGTCTCTAGGAAACTCAAACATACCCCTGCAAGTAATAGAAATTCTGTTACAAGACTCACTCATTCCAGCACTACTCCACTTTGAATTATCACCATGGTTGATTATCCATGGATGGTCACCCTTAGAAACTCTTCCTAAAACAAAATCGAGCACAAGATCATGCATTTTGACACACCCATCATCATCATCGCCATCCATCAACAAATTTGCTTTTTTGAGACTGTGCACATGCGTCTCTGTCCCGTCCCTAGCCTCTCCCAAAGTAGAAACTCCATTCAACAACCGTAGGCCCCATGCATATCTTGTGAGTTCCTCGATTGGAATATTAAAGTCATCAGGAAACAAGCCACACAGAAGAAAAATTGCTTTTTCCTCCTCTTCTTGTATATAGTCGTAGCTTATCTTAATACTTTCTTGCACATAATCAAGATTTTTATTCTCCAAACGGCGAAGTGTATCTCTCCATGCAACCTTTTCTTCAAACTTAAGACGAATGGCAATGAGATTAATGGCAAGGGGCAAAAACCCACATCTTCTCACGATCTTTGTTCCTATTTTATTCAGCTCCTTATCATGTTGTTTTAAAGAACCTGTAATTTGCCAAAAGAAATTTTGTGCTTCAGGCTCCTCCATCACTTCCACTCTAACTATTTTCAAATCTGGATCAGCTTCTACAGCAATTTGTTTGCAAATATTTTCATATCGTGATGTCAGCAACAGCTTGAAGCCGTTAGGCAAAGGACTCAATCCAATATCTTTGAGTTCAATTGTCTCCCATACATCATCTAATACCAGCAAAACCCTTCTTTTACCTTCTAGAAGTTTCTCAAATGTTATACGAAGACGATCTGCTCTTGCTTCTTTACTCATTTCAGTTAGAGATGAGCCCATGTAATCTGCTACAGCTTGCTGAATAGAAAACATGTTAATTTGTTGCCCAATAACCACCTTCACAACATACTCAAACATCTTCTTATCTTCTGCAGTCTTTTTCACTTGTTCCATCATAGTGGTTTTTCCCACACCTCCCATTCCACATAGGGCTATCACTTTGCTCTTGTGATCTTGTTGAAGGAAATCGAGTATCTCCTTAAAACTTTTCTCTCTCGATCTGAAGTGATTTTGGGCACCAGCATCCGAAGGTGAAGAACTAGATGCGATTTTCGAGTTCACTTTCCCAAGAGGTCTTTGAGCATCACTCCAAGTTATCTTACTATTTTCATCAATAAAACTTTCCATCTCCTCCATAGTCTTGAATGCCTCCCTTCCAGCTCGATACCTCATTTTCATGTTAAAACATCCATTCCCAGTACTTGGAATGCTTTGAGCTTTTTCTTTAGTCTTTTCAACTTCTTCCAACCAACTAGGTATACGAGCAGGTATCTCCAGATTACTTATATTGTTTCTTTCCATGTGCTTTTTGACATCAAGGATTGTACCATCCAGTTGCTTCATTTTGGCATTCATGTTCCTAACAAGTTTTGTGGAGGAAAAGATATATCCGAGCTGTTTTTTAACAGGATCCATTAATGATTGAACAAAAGGACTAATGATTGCAGATATAAACTCCATCTTTCAGTATTCTAGCTTTTACAAAGACCTGCAAACCATGTAATAGACAAAAAAGGCAATGAAATTGTTAAAAGTTGTTAATTATTAACTTGCTTAGCTATCTTTATTCAAATATAATATACAATCCATAGATAATTAGTGTTATAAAAGTTTCCTTCAGGATTTAGGACACATAACAAGTTTGGCTAGAATAGAATTGATAGTTGGTAAATTAATGTGTATGTAAATTCATAGTTAATTTTGCTGTTTGGCTTCCCTTGTCAACTTAACCTTGGTTTTCTTTGAAATGATTGAAAGTGGGAATAGATTGTTAATTTCAACATCTTCATCATCGTGTGAACTTGTGAGAGATGAGGAACAAAATATCGTGCCTTTTAATTAGGATTTATTAGTTGTAAACAGAGTCCTGCAGTGATACAATTAGGGGATTTATTAGGGCTAGAACTGATCTCTACGTGGAAGCATCTGTCCTAAGAAAACCATTTCTCCAAAACATTGTTCAATAATCAAAAGAGGGAAAATGAGGAGGCACTGTCATTCATTCAAACATTTACTTGATTTTATATGTGGAGCATACACGAACAATCCACAACAAGTAACAAAGCAAACATTTTTTTTTCAGATAATTTCGTCAAAGGATCGATAGATTCAAAACAGAAAACAACTACGAAAAGTTATTCATAAACAAAGAGAAAAACTTTCAACAAAAACATACCTCTTCTACTATATGCGCCTGTGCTAATGCTTGCTGTTTTTGCTGCTGTGTACAACTGGTTTGAATTGTGAAGAAGAAGGCCAATATATGAAGTATGAACAAGCCTCAATTATTGCTGTTGCGCTGCAAATACTACGGATTTGGATGAATGGAAGTAATGCAGTCAACTGTCATAATCTAGGTACTAAGAGCATTGCCTAACGTACTACAGAGTATAGCTAAAATAGTACAGTCAACAGTCAACGGTCCCACATATTGCTATCGAAGCACGATACAATGTTGGACCTACCCCACAGACCCATGAAGATGTGATATTTCTTTACACCGCATTTACAATACCCTAATTTTGGGCATCTCTTTTGTGAAAACTAGGATTTGTTAAAAAGTTTCAAAATAATTGTATTTATTGGGATGATTATTAGTTGGCCTAATATTTGAAAAAACTTATGGTAATAATTTAATTTAACAACAAAAAAATGTGTTTTTAAAAAAAACATATCATATTAAATCAGAGGGTTTAAAATTATGAGAAAAAATATTTTGAACTTTTAATAACAAAATTTACATTGTAACAAAAAGGTCGAGAACATTATCACTCATTATAATTTCATATAAAGAGATATTTACATGTAAATGATCAAACGGTATCCTATAATGGGTATGTTCAATAGCAAGATTTTAATAACTTTTTTTTTGTTTTTCTTTTAAAAAACTTGAGTTAGAGAAAAAAAAGTTCATTTAATAGTACGAGTTTAAGTTTCTACTCCAAAAGTTATTTCAAGTAGATTTTAGTATCTTTTAGTTTTTTGAAATTTTACACCTTTAAATGTTAACTACTTTTATGGAATAATTACACACAAGTAATCACCATAAAGAATTTCTTAAACCAAGTACAAAGAGCTTTTTTGAGACCATATATACCGGAATTTTCGAAGCCAACAAACTTCACCCGGTTGGTGGGCAACACTTAGGGGAGGAGTCATATAAACCTCCTCATGAAAATCATCATTCAAGAACACACTCTTAACATCCATTTGGAATATCTTCACTAACTAACGAATGTATGCAACTGTGTTATTAGAGTACAACATTCATCACTTTTGTCGTCAAATTCTGTGTGAGTGAAACTAACCCTTCCTATGAGTCCAGTGAAGAGTTGTTAAGTTTCTAAACCATAGCATTCTACTAAAGGAGATCATAAACAACCTCTCTATAGGATTGGTTTCTGGCATTATATATATTAGCAATAAATGAAGCAAACAAAGTCAAATAAGATGAATAAGAAAACTACTTTGGACTAATGTGGTGGAAGATTTAGTCACAGTTAAGGGTGAGCGTTTGGACCGAAAACCCGAACTGAATCGAACCGAATTAGGCCTAAATAAGTAATTCAGTTCGGGTTTCGGGTATCTATATTAAGCTTATTCGGTTATCGAGTTTTTCGGTCTGGGTTATCCAAATAAGAGCTTATTCGGTTCTAAATACTTGGCCCATAATTTTAGCATGGTTGTATAAATTTAGGCAACTTTGAACTGTAATGGCATCTTCGTTATTTGCCCGATTTGCCAAGGTTTTTTTTTCCATCTTGTAGCTCACAATTTAAACTACTGTTTACATAGTTTATATGCTATTTTTGGCTATATCAATGAGATACATGCCCCTAAACATGGGTATTGAAGTTGAGTTTTCTGTTTCAACATGTTTACAGAAATTTATGCAACTTTGAATTGTCATAGCGTCTTCATTATTTGTCCGATTTGCCTGATTTTGGTGTTTGGATTTTACATTCTTATATCTCAAGAATAGTTAATTCGTGTTAACAATAAATTTAAAGAAAAAATGAAATCTTTTTTAGTGTATATCGAATATTTTGTCCATTAATTTGGAAACAAAAACATACCAAATATATAATTCGTGTTTACATGTAAGTCTACAATTATATGTTTGTCCTTGTTGTGTATGTTTATTACATAAATTCTGACATTTTTTTCATCTTTAAAACATGTATATTTTCATTATTTTTAATCAACAAAATTGTTTCTTTGAAAGTTTTATTATGAAATCATAAGCTACAAAAGTAATAAAAAATACAGTATTTATAATCATATTGTAAATGTTATTCAGGTTATGGAATATATTAGATTGTTAATCATATTGTAAATGTTATTCGGGTTATTCGAGTAATAACCGACCCGGACCGATTAATACATGAACCAAACTAAACTCGTATTAAGTCAATCGATCCGGGTTTCGGTTCCTCCAATTAGCCTTATTCAGCTTTCGGATTTTTCGGATTTGGGTGGGTTCGGTCCGGTTCCGACCCAAATAACATCCCTAGTCATAGTAGGTGGTACAGAATAAGAGGAACAAGAGCAATGTATGATGTTGTGGGCATCGTATAAATTGGGTCATCGGATGCAATGTTATCTCTTTATTTCAAATGTACTAGAGTTGATTATCTAACACATCCGGTGGATGAAAACAACATTATAATCAATAGCTAGTTATAAAGAATGTTACAACTACATTAGGCACATTTTATTGGTCCTACACCATGTGCATCACCAAGTTAACAATAAGCATAGATCCTAAATATCCCAAATAGGTTTAAAACCAATTTAACAGAACTTTATAATTTACATGTAATGTTAGGCCTCATTATTTAGTAGTTGATACTTGGACTTTCTTTCGTAATCTCATCCGCAACAAACATAATTTAACTTTAACTAACATATAAAATAGGTTTAACTAGTCTACAAATAATAGAATATTAGAGAATTTTGACCTTAGATTTTGTGGTTCTCCATCGTATTGAGTTAGTTTCCAGAGAGATGTATAGGAAAATTTCTCAAACAGATTTTATGAGACGCCTTTACTCAAACTTGTAACACTAGAAGGTAAGACTTCCTACAATTAAAATCTCGTTTGCTACACATGTCAGTATGTGACAAAACAAGTTGTATTGCATTTGGTACGTATTGACAGTGTGACTGATTTCAATAGGGCAAATAACATAAAAGCCCTTAAGTTTTCAAGAAATGTTCGGATTTACCCTTTGATGACGTTTGGGTTCATTAAATCCGGATATTTTGTTTAATTTGTTCACATATACCCTTTTAAGGGGTTTCAAGTCACCTCTAGTTACTAGTGGTGGTCTTGGTGATTGTAACACCATGAGGTTAAGAGGATGTATAAATGTTTTTATGTTAGCATTGGATTATGTGGTAGCTAAGATGGCCATAATATCATAGGTGTAAATTGACAACTATGGTAGCCTTGTGGTCGTAATACCATAGATTGAAACCTTATTGGTCAATAGCAACTTTGGTGGCTGTAATATTATATTGTGTATTGTTATTGGAGAATTGCAAGTTAATAGTAGCTTTGGAAATCAACATACTATATTTGCGAAAGAATATATTGTAGTGAAAATTTGCATGGTTGTAATGTCAGTAAGAGTAATGTTGATTGAATAAATTGGTAGTTTGTGTAGTATTGATACTATTGAGGAGAGATTATGTGAAACTGATAGTAGCTTGTGTGGTTGTAAGTCTATTAAGGATAGTTAATGGTTTAAAAAGCAGCTTAGAGAGATGTAAATCTGACTATTGGAGAATTATATACTAACATTTTATTCGAGTGTACGTTGGTTGATTGAATAACACAAATGATATATATTTAGTTGTGTAACTAATTTATGTCTTGTTTATATGGTTACTCACTAATCTAGTTGTACCTTACCATTTTGTTATGTGTGTATTTCATGCTCAAATAAACTTAGCAGCACAACGTGGAGTTGGTAGCGCGGGACTTAGATTCTTACACGAGAATATTGTAAGATCCTCTTGATAACTTCTTGTGTTGATTTATTAATATGAATGTACACCAGATTTGTTATGATTTGTAAATTAAAAATGAAATTTTTGGATATACTTTGTATTAAAAATTCGGGTGTTACATGAATGTCAAAGATACAAATTAGAAAACGACCGACTCAAGCGAAAAGAAGACAAATCAACACAAGAATCCAAGATCCATAAGGATGAAGGGATACCTAAAGTATCGGACAAAGAAATACCTATGATATGACATCAAGATTGGAAGCAAAGAATTGTATGGACTACTCAAAAACCTGAGGATCCAAGGCAAAGTGTGTAATGATAATATGAGGATCAATCTTTATCAAAGGTGAAATAAACTATAGTGGATGGGATGTCCACACAGTAAGACTAAAAGAGTGGCTGAAAGGGTCCAAATGGTATGTTTTGCTACAGAGAACGTTGTTGCTATTTTTCCTATAGTGGATGGGATGTCCACATAGTAGGACTAAAAGAGTGGCTGAAAGGGTCCAATGGCTTTTTTGTTTATAAAAAAACTCATTCATCAGAAGCAACTTTAGGAATTGGGCTAGACTGGTTTCTAGCATAAGTTAGTTTCTGAACAACAAAAACATTAAAAGTAGGAGATGCTTATACCCATTATAAACTTGAGACTTAAGAAGATCTCCTCAACAATCAATTCATGAACAACCAAGTGAATAGTGGGAAGCAGAGTACAATGAAAGATTATTTCATATAATCCTTCAAATTCAAATCGTAATGCTATCAGAGCCAAATGTTATTCTTCTCTCTTGGATACTCATAGTATTAAATTGAAGTGCTTGAATATATGACCTTAACCGATACCACTTATCAAAATTAGATTGAGTATACAATATGTACAAGTGATGGCAAACTTCCTTAGTTGTTTCATATTTCGCCAACACAGTCACAATAAATTTGATCACAATTTTTTTTATCTAACTACAAAGAGTTCGTCCTTTTCTTTTTGAGCCATATTAATGATAACCAAAATAAACAAATATCAATAGCAAATACGCTCGAATGACTTTTAACATTTGAACGCACAAATTTACATAAATTTAATGTGTGACCTCACTATAAGAAACCACCATCTACAAAAAATCATGAAGCCTGATGAAAAATGAAAAACAAATAGGAAAATAGGAAATGAATAGATAATAAAGAGTGATACAAATTTAAGTAAGATATTTCTTTCATCATTTCAACATCTATCATTTCCCTATTCTCTTTTTCATAGTCCATAATGGTCCCATTGGTTTTCTTGGACCAAGGGTTTAAATGGTTGAATTAGTGAAATATACTTTCATGTGTAGCAAAATATTACTTTTATGGTCTTGTTGGCTATTTTATAGTAAAAAATATTTTATTTACCATTAAAAACACTTAACCTACTAAATACTAATCATTTGATCATTCCAACTTCCCACATCAAAATATTATCTCTTTAATTAAAACATGTTAGAGTTGATTATCTAAGATGTCCAATGCAGGAAAACAACATTATAAACAACAAAATTAAAACTATGGCTGGTCATAAAGAATGTTACAACTACAATAGTCACATTTTATTGGTCATACACCTCAAATGCATCACGAAGTTAATAATAATAACCATAGATCTTAAATTTCCAAAATAGGTTTAAAACCAATTTAGCAATGATTAAGAATTTACATGTAAGGTTAGGCATCAATATTTGGTAGTGGATACTAGGACTTTCTTTGGTAATCTCATCTGCATGATCAACAAACATAGTTTAACTTTAACTAGAATTTAAAATACGTTTAATGAATCTATAAATAACAGAATATCAGACAATTTTGACCTTAGATTTTGTGGTTCTCCAACCTATTGAGTTGGTTTGTGGAGATGTGTAGGCAAATTTCTCAAATGGATTTTGTAGCACGCTTTTACTCAAACTTGTAACACTAGATGGTGATTCTTCCTACAATTAAAGTCGTGTTTGTTACACATGACAGTATAGAACAAAACATGTTGCACTACATTTGGTATGTATTGGACTGGGACTTTGTGACTGATTTCAACAAGACAAAAGTTGCAAACTTTTTTGGAGAGTCGCTTTCGATTTGACACGTATGCAAAATTACCTTATTTGTTGTTGATGTATGGATATGTTGGATTTCTAGTCTGTCAGAATAAAAGAGCACCTGCATATAGAAAAGTTATATAAGTTGGTTGTATATCTCTGAACGATCAAATAGATTTTGTGATCATATTCAATACATCCCAACTCCCAACTCCCAAAACATAAATCAGCAAAATGACCAATATGCCCTCAATAACTATCAAACGGATATGCGACAAGATATTATAATAGTATGAACTGATATCATACCTTGTTTAAAAGCTGCACATTGGATGAATCAGTTGCCACAACATGTAACCCAAGGCAATTGTCTTGATCACTACAGAAAGGGCAGAAAGCCGTATTAAATACACAGCCATCTTCTTTGCTCCAAATTCCTTCATCACCACTTCTTTCCCAAATTCTCCCATCAACACAACAAATATCAGACACCACAACAGCTACACTTGTCCCACCCTTTTCTCTCCCTTTCCAACTTGACACCAAATGCACTTTAGATAACGACATCAAAGAACAAGGGACAGAATAGTCATTTTCCGCAAGACCCAGCGGATTTTTACAGAGTGAACACGATATTTTTAGATATTTTTTGGTTTCATCACCAAGATTCATGGTTTCTTCAGGGGAATCAAAGTGGGCCATCTTGACTGATGCAAAAGCTGAAGACTTTCTTCTTTTATGAAAATGGGAATTGACACTTGAATCTAGAGGTGAATTGTTTTGAGGGATTTGTTGTTTTTTAGGTGGTGTTGTTGTTGTGTTCATGCATTCAGAAGCTGAAGTGGAACAAGGGGAAGAAAAGGAACGAGTGGGAAACTTTGATTGGATTATGGTTGACTCGGAGACAGATTCAAGAGTAGCAGGGTAACTGTTCTTGATTGGTGTTTCCTTCACAATGGGTGGTTCATATTCATGATCAAGGGCATTATCGTCATTTCTCGGGGTTTCATGAACAATGGTTAAGTCGAAATCGTCATCATGAGATATATTAAATGATGGTGGCGATGGAAACCTGCACCCAACATAAGACAAACATCTGTTACCAACTTCTATTCTTTTTTAGAGTAATTACAAGAACATTCCCTGTGTTATACCCAAAACCTCAGGTTCAGTCCAACTTTTATTAGAAAATGACTTTTCTACCCTTATATGTTTCTTTTTAAAGTATATTGCATTTTTGGTCCCTGAGTATAGCTCATGTTTTTAATTTTGGTCCCAAAAGGTTGTCATGCTAATTTGGTCCTTATTTAAGATTTGTGTAACGTTTTTTGTCCCTGTTCCTAGTAAAATGGCTATTTTTGGGATCGAAATTGCAAAAATCACACCCATAGACCAAAATGGCCACTTAATTTGGAATCGGGACCAAAAACATTACACGAATGTCAAATAAGGACCAAAAATGCAAAAGAAAACCTTTTAGTACCAAAATTGCAAAAAGCAACCATACTCAAGGAACAAAAATGTAATTTGACTCTTCTTTTTAACTTTTCTATAATTTGTTTATTTTAAACTATTGTTAGATGTCATTTTACATGGATCAGTGACAGATCAGAAACAAAAACCAATGTTAGGGACCAATTTGAAACAGAAAAAAAAACATTGGACTGAATATGCAACAGTGGGTATAACACAAGGACCATTCTTGTAACTAACTCGTTTTATTTCAATGATTGAAAGAACAAGAGGCCTAGATAAAATAACAAGTTTAAAATACCTGTTTTTTGTCTCCAAATCACCTTTGGAGTCGGTGTAAGTTATACCAGTATTGCTGTCACTCTTTTTCACTCCCCTAATTGTTTCCTGAGGTCTAGATTCTGTTTTGGGGGAGGGGCAGTGAAACTTTTTACTTGTAATTGGAAACTTTTTTATTTTATTTGTTAATATTTCAGGTGGTGAAATAACAGCATCTGACATAGATCTTCTTCCTTTTGGTTTGGGGTTACTTATAATTTTATGGTTCATCATTTCTGTGAACAGGTTTCTTGGGTCCTCTACATCAATGACTTCAACATCAACCACCTCTTTTGCATCATTCTCAACCTGTTCTTCCGTTGTTTTCACAAAATGAGCAACAGCTTTGTTAGTGATGGAAATCCTAGCTAGCAAAAAGATAAGTTGTTGGATACATAAATGCAAGAAATAGCAACATACTTTCATTTATTTGTTTATTATAGCATCCCAGTTTCTTTTCTTTCTATTACAACATCGTACTTTCCATTTTTTCTTATCAAGACATTGTACTTTGAAAAAACTACTTGATTATATTAATGAAAATTGCTTTGTATATGTAGAACACTGCTATAAAATTGTAATGGGAAGAAATGAAAGTAAAATTACTATAATAAACAAATAAATAAAAGTATGTTGCTATTTCTTGCATTCGAACCAAAATGTGAAAAGGTACATTGTCAGAGAAAGAACCTTGATGTTCTTGAAAAAGGACTTTAATCCTTCCAATGACTGGTCAAAGTTGTCATATTGTCTAATGGATTTCCTTATCCACTTTGAAATGTATCTTAAATTTCTTTCTTGACGAAATCGCTCATCTGCTTGCAAATAATTTAGGAATTAATTTGGTATTTGTAAGCAAATAAAATCTATCTGTTGTGAAAAAAGGAGAACATAAACATAGAAATATATCAGGGGGGAGAGGGAAAGAGAGAGGCCTACCTAGGAAGATTATGGCTCCATAGTCCGACCTGTGTCGAATGCAACGGCCTACAGAAGATCAAAGCTATACTGTAACAAAACATTGAGCTAAAACATAATATAAAATAAGCTCCTTATAGAAACAGCAAAAACTATATAAGAATATAAAAATTATAGTTATTCATCATAAACATGATTCAACTGTAAGATTAGTATATTGTGATCAAGGGAGATGTGATACCTGCTGCCTGATTAAGAGCTCTGAAAGCTTGCTGACAATACCATTCGCTGCCACTAAGAAGGTTTTTAGAGGATTTAAAAGTATCATTGTATCTCTTTTTTTCTGCCACTTGAATATCAAACCTGCATGGTCACACAATACTAACAATCAGCAGGATGTGAAAGACATCACATGATATTAATTCATACTTTGAATATAACATAAATACATAATATCCTATTTAAAGGTTGCAAATGTAGTCAAAAAACAAGAAAGGGAATCTTACACGTTTGGAAAAGGAATCCCAATAATTATCTGAGATTATCGAAGGAGCAGGTGGTATAGTTAAGGATCACCGTGAAAACTGAAAAGGGTGCCAGAACTATAACCATGCTATGAATAAAATATTAGCAATTAAATTATCATATAATGAATTAAGAAGCAATTAATAACATAAAGGACACAACCGCTCGAGCATTATCATCTGAGAAGTCAATTCCTTCAGACACCTGTCAGTCATAGTAATTTCAGTATATAAATCAATGACAACATTTTTTTCACTTTTAAACATTTTTAAAAAATATGATGCAAATGACACATCAGCAATATACCTTTCCTCGACAGACAGCAAGAAATGTAGCTCCCTTTTTATCATTCCCTTTAGAACATGATACTGCTTCCACCTTTTTACCCCTTCTCCTCCCAATTGCAGGTTTCTTGCCACGAATTGTATCATAATAACCACTCAAAACTTGCTCAAAATCATCCTGGCTTCCTCTTGGCTCTAATAAGTAATAACACAACAAACAAGATTCCATTATCAAACCAAAAACTAACCATATGGGTTATCAGAGATAATAGATGACTTCAACAGAAACATTGTTTCCTTTTTTAATGCATATTGTAGAATAACCTCACCAACAAAAACAGGTTTTTGTGCATTTAGGCGAGTCCATTGACCTGTTTCAAACCAACGACTGCGTAATTTGTCCATAAGTTTATAGCTAGGAAAGAACACCAAACAACCACCAGGCACAACTTTGCATATTTCTTCAAGGGATGTTCCAAGTGCATCCTGCACAACAAAAACAAACAATCACATCATATTTATAATCAAATGAAATGGGGAAATGTTTCCTTTTTTGTTTTCTTTTTGGAATTTACCTGGAAACCATATCCCTCGGATGTTTTGTAACTTGCATTCAATGGGTAATTACCCGGCCCACTGTGAATCACACCCGCCCATAACTGCAGCATAAAGGGTAAAACCGTCATTTAAATAAGAAAGATTATAGAATCGTTTACAAATGATTGATTCTAAAAAAAGGTAAGAAACTTTATTGGTACCTGTGACTCCACGTTGATAACATGAGGAGCTTCAAGAGAGGTTCCGAATTGAACCCCAAGTTCAGATTGAAACGAACTCATTGGTGATAGAGTCCTGTAATAATATAAAATAAAATAAATAAATAAATTGTATTAATAAATAAAATTTTAGATAGAATTGAATACATGCACCTACCCAGATGTTAAAATTACTGAAAGAGAAGCATCAGCAATGTTCTTGAAGACAAGAGCTGGATTCAAACACCACAAACTCAAAGTACAGGGCCAATCATCACCATCAACTCCTGCATGCAAAATGTTAGATATTATATTATAAGAGTAAATTACGTTTTTGGTCCCTGAGTTAAGCTGATTTTTGCAATGGAAGTTTGGTTCCAACAAAGGTTTTGGTCCTCATTTATGGTTCTTGTAATATTTTTTTTTATCCCTATTCCACATAATATGACTATTTTGGGTCCCTAAGTACAGCTGATTTTTGCAATTTTGGTACTAAAAATATAGTCATTTTCCTGAAAAGGGGACCAAAAAACTCAAATGAGGACTAAAATTTCAAGAGAAAACTTTTTGGGACCAAAATTGCAGAAATCAACCATTCTCATGGCCAAAAATGTGATTGTTGGAACTTTGGGTCCCAAAAATAGCAATTTTCTTGGAACAGGGACCAAAAATGTTGCAAAAAAACTCAAATAAGGACTAACATTGCAAGAAAAAACTTTTTGGAACCAAATTTACAAAATTCAACTAAGGCACCAAATCTGTAATTTACTCTTATTATTAAGAACATAATGGTAAATAAATTTTAGAAACTTACCAGCATCACCTTTGATACGACATTGCAATACAAGCTGATAATCACAGATGTGGGCCCCATCTTCAGAGAAAAAGTAGGTAAGTGAAGAGAAAAGGCCTGTGGGTTGAAAAAATAAACAAAAAAGAAGGATGCAATGAGAAACATAAGTTTATTCTGAGTGTGTGGAAGATTATAAAGAATAATAACATGAAAGTTAGGCTAGGCACCTTCTAATACTGTAGAGGGCATGCCACTTAAATGGTCAACCTCAAGGTCTGCATCTGTAGCAATTTTAATTGCCTGAAAAAGGTTTTACAAAAAAAGTTCTAATACTTTAGAATGTTAATAACACAAGTGATTGCTCATCTTATAGAGAAATGTGGGACAACTACATTAAACTCTATATCAACATTAGTTATAGAGAAAGTACAAAAATGGTCCCTGAGTATCAATTTTATTTGCAATATTAATCCCCAAAAGTTTTTTCTTGCCATTATGGTTCCCTTATTTGTTGTTTTTGTAAATTTTTGGAACCTATTCCAAGTAAAATGACTATATTACCCATTTCACCAGAGTTCAGCTCATGAAAATAGCGGAGGAGTCCAGGGTTCGGGCAGGCCAACTGGCCAAATCCCAGTTTATATTAATAAGTATATAAATATAAAATAAATAGAAGTTTGCAAAATAATTAGATAAAGGGTAATATAGTATTTTTACATGGAACAGGGACCTCAATCATTAGGATACTTTAGATTAATGACTAAAAACATTAGCAAAAAAACATTAAATGAGGACCAAAATTTGCAAAAAAAACCTTTTTGGAACCAAAACAGCAATACTCAGGGACCATCTTTGTAACTTAACCTTAATTGTATAAAAAAAATGGATTATGGATGTTTGGAAAATACTAGATGTGGCATACAAACTCAAAGTAAATGTTTTTTTATTTTGATGGAGAAATGCAACTGAAGAGAGGATTACCTTTGTGGCACATTCTTGTAAGATTGGGAAGCACAGCTTTGATATGCTTGCTTCGTCAAGTTCTTTTAAAGCTTTATCACCAGTCCAACTAAAATTGTAAAGTTATGCAATATCCAAAGCACTTATATATCTTATAACACAAAATATATAATAACATGAAGAAAACTTCAAAAAAATTTATATAAGATAACTGACCATGATGCATTATGTTGAAAACTATGCTTCCCCAATGAATTTTTCTTCCGTCTGATCCAACTAATAATGCCCTGTCATAACAAACAGTTTAAAATAATTATTTAAAAAAATAAATACATTTGTAGTATAGGAATATGAGGATTTAATCTAAGGAGTAGTACCTCCATCATTTCACATAAGGGCTGATAAATCTCTACTTGATCAGCCTGTGTAACTCGATCACTATGACAAAGATTTTCCAGTTCCATCTGTAATTCTTCCATATGTACAAACAGAATACAAAATCAATAAATACATTAAAGTAAAGAGAGGGTAAAAATGGAATAAAAAGATGCTTACGAAGCAGAACAACTTCTTCAGCATCTACACTACCAGCATCCCGAGCTATGTCTTCTATATTACTGAAAAAAAGGTAAATAAAAAAAATTATATATACTGTCATGTGAGCGTAAAATATATATCTGAAAGTCCTGAACTTTTCATATATTCCAAAATTGCCCCTAACATGACTAGGGAGAAAAACAGCAAAGGGACTACACAACAATTTTTAGACTTTAGGGTCATTTAGGTTTTCCAAATGGACATAAAAATCACAAAATGTTAACCTTTGAGTAAATTACAAAAATGGTCCTGTGCTTTATTTTTTTTACTGTGTTTAGTTCAAAAATCAAAATTGGAACTTTTTCAGTTTTGGACATTATTTCAAGGTTTCATATCGATTTTGGTCCCTGTGCTTTCTGACTTTTACCGCTTCAGTGCTTCTAGTCCAAACTTGAAACATTTTTCAAATTTGGTTATTATTTCAAGATTTCATATCAATTTTGGTCCTTATTCGGTTGTTCCAAAGTTAAAGGAACCAAAATGGATAAATGATCAATGATGTCCAAAAAACTGAAAAATGTGTCATTTTTGGACTAAAGACAGTAAAATCCACAAAGCACTAGGACCAGAATTCTAACTTAATCTTAATTTTTCTTGTCAAAATAGTTATAGCATTTGAGAGATTATACTACTCACTGAGCTTCATCAAGAATGATAATGTTTCCTTTAACATCTAATTCCATTGCTTTTCTGATTTGTGGATTGATAATATAACTATAAGGGCAAAAAACTATTTGTGCCACTTCTGCCATGGCTTGTGCTCCAAAATATGAGCAACCTGAAAATTTTGGGACAAACAGTTATGTACTAGACAGTAACATTTTGTCAAAGAAACTTGTAAAGATAAAAGACCAAATTAACCTTCGACCATTTGTCCAACTTTAACAAGATCCTCGATATCATGGAGTTCATAGCAGCCTCCTTTTTTAACAGATGGGTGTGCTCTGATCTTTTTTGCATTCCTGTAAGAAACCATGGTTGGTTATAAATTTTAATGGAATCCTACTCAAAGTACAGGAAAAGGGTATATGGACATTAAAAACAAACACACACACACACACACAAAAAAAAAAAAAAAAAAAAAAAAAAAAAAAAAAACTCACAAGAATTCTGGGCAACCACATTTGTTTTGTCCTCGCTCCTTGAGAAGTAGCTTACTACATTATCATAAAACAACATACATAAGAAGTGGAAAATAAAATGTAGATGCAAAGATTAACAGATAAAAAGGCACCATTTCTCATCAATATTATCTTGGCCACGAACTTTGGCATTTGTACAGTAGCGTTTTCTAGATGCCTGAAAGTTAACTCAAGAAAATGAAAACAGAACTTATCAGATTCTGATCAATATCAGAATGCAAAAGCAAAACCATATATAAAGAGATATTTTCAATTAAAAGATAAAAAAAAATAGAGTTAAAAGTACAATGTAGGATCAAAGATAACATACCAAAACTGCCATTGGCACCCGATAACTTGTTTTGCGAAATTCAGAGACAACTTGACTAATCTGTGAATGTGTCCGCCTAAATAAATTTATCATATAAAAAATTATAAATCCCAATCTTCATGAGCTTCAAATATCAATATTACACAGATGCCCAAGTGACAAAAGTTACCTCCATAAGCATACATACAACATATATGATAGAATCTCATGTGCTTTGTTTAACAAAACTTACGTGGCATAGTAAATGATAGGGCCTCTTTTTTTCTTCTGCTCAGTATTGTGTGTCTCGGAAAAAGTAGGCACCACATTATTACCTATGATTTTGAAAGAAGATAAAGACAAGAAATCACTGATTAATGTAATTCTGATACAGAAATCGTGCAATTACTATATGGAAGTGCTATAGTTTGTCTATGACTCATGGCTTTAAACATTCAAATAATGAAGTGCTATAGTCATCTCCAATAATATGTAAGTATTAGTTTATCCAATCTTTTAGAAGTTGTTTTAAAACAGTTTCCCCTCTCTCGTAATAGATAAGGGAGCCATGTTAACTACTAGCATGGTCTTTGGTACCAAAGAAAATAATCATTGTGCAATGCATAATAGTATAAACACCAAATAGTGTGTTGTTTCTAGTGGATAAATGTTTGTACTATTTGGGTTCTACAAGTTCTCTGTTTCTACAATCATATATGCAAAGTCCATATAAGTTCATATTTGAGTAAAGCCAAAAACTCGAAAGCATTAGTTTTTGCACTTGAGGCGAGAACAGTCTTTAAAAATATCAAAGAACTGCCAGACTTTCTAATTCCAATTGTTGTCAACAAAATGAGCAATTTTGATGCCAAAAACGATATATCTATTCTTGATAGCAGAAAATTAGATGAAGCACAGTTATATGATGTTAGAAAAGAGGTAGAATTGTTGTTGTTGAAGTTTTCTATCCAAACTTTATATACATAAAAGGCCAGGCAAGCAGCTTGGAGATTGTGTCTACTAACACCACTATTAGCAATAAGGTTAGAACTTAATAGCAATCGTTAAGCTTCAAGGTTTGTACCTTGGACACTCAACAACACAACAACCAACTCACTTGAGAATCCAGGTAACCATATTTATATTTACTGTTAAGGATGGAAATTGGTAGCAAGGCTTACTGCTCATTGCTAATTCTTGAAAAAAAAAATGGTATGTTTAATACCATATATGCAGTCATCAATCATTTCAACATTAAATTTTAGAATTAAATATGACACGTTGTATACAGAATGTGAAGATCATTTGTAGAGTAATAGCATTGTAGAGTAAATATCAGCAGAGAAAGGTTAGAAACCATTGATATTACTCCATTTCAGGGACAACCCCCACTACCACATAAAAATTTCCATTGATACCAACATGAAATAAATATATTTACCAAAATAAAATGTTATCATTTATACCTGATGGCTCCATTTCAGGAACAAACCCCCCACCACGACCCAGAGGGTCAACCATAGCCTCGGGATCAGGTTTCGAGTGAGAGATATTCCCAAGGAGAGACTTTAACTGTTGATTCTTCTGCCATGCCAGAACGGAGCAAAGCAGAGACAAAGACTTTCCAGTACCAGTAGGAGATTCAAGTAACGCATGAAAATGGCCATCTCGTTGAGCTCGATCGAGAGTTGCGATTACTCTGCCCATGTAAGCCAGCTGAGAGCCATATGGTTGGTAAGGAAACTCAATTGGTATGCCGCCGATGTGAATGACATTCTTTTTCGACGGTTTAGGGTTTGGATTTGACGCCGGCAGTGAATACGAAGACATTGCTTCTCCGGTGTATGTAGATTCTCGCCGGTGGTTTGCCCTCATTCGCGGTTTTTCCTGTAGAATGAGCTGATTGGGGTTTTAGGGTTTCAACTGTTGTGAAAATTTGGTCTTTGGCGGGAACTTTATTTTTTGGAACATTTTATAAATGCGAGGCAAATTTAGGGACGGATAGAACGGCCGACAATACTTTTCCAACTTTTTATATCCGGTTGTTATACAATCGAATGAATATTAAACAATTTTATATTTATATATAGATATGATTTTTATACCGTTATTTTTTATATTCTATCATATGAGAGCAACTCCAACCATAAATCATTAAATTGGTGATTTGTTAACACTAAAATGGTGTTTTGCATTCCAACCAATCATTAAAGTTGTGATTTTTAGAGGCCAAGTAGTTTGACCATCATATTTGGTGTGTGAAGTTATCCCAAACACTAAAATGGTGTTTTCTAAAGGTTGATTGGAATGAGAACACCACTTTATTAGCCTTTATAATTGTGTTTTAGTGGTTGGTTGGAGTTGGTTTGAGGGATACCTTTTTATGCAAAATAAGACTACTTTACATATTGAATTAAATTTCCGAAGACAAAACATTTCTCAACCTAGTGTTTATACCTTTTTATCCTTGGGTACTTTTGAAAACAATTTGAAAACAATTTGAAATTTATTTTGAAAATCTTTACAAATCCATAGTTTGAGTCTAGATTCACACAATGCTCATCCAATTCTCTCAAACTAGTGCTCTAATACGAACTTGTAACATCCCAAAATTCAGAGTAAAATTTTCATTTTTCAAAACAAACCCAAAGACCATAATTGTTTACAAATCATTGTTCCAAAAGTAAAAAAACCATACCTAGAGTGTCCCAAAATGGCAAAATCTAATATCATGAAAATCAGAAGGATGTGCACGATCATGTATTCGCCTTGTCGCGGTCATCTGAAGTACCTGAAACAATAAACTGAAACTGTAAGCATGAAGCTTAGTGAGTTCCTTCCAAAGTACCACCACACAAACATATAACAACATGCATACTAGGTCCACATATAACAGACCGGATTATCCCTGAGCCCACAACATGAATTTGGCTTGCCTTCTGGCCCACAGCTCATGTTTGGCTTGCTCCTGAGCCCACAACATAAGTTTGGCTTGCTCCCGAGCCCACATCATAAGTCTGGATTGCCTTTCCGCCCTACAGCTTATGTTTGGCTTGCTCCCAAGTCTGTTGACTTCCGCAGAAAGCAGGATTGCCTCAACCTAACCATACTATATCAACATATACATAACTAATAACATATATCCAACAAAAAAACAATCATATAACTAGTAAGACAAACAGGCAGATCTACAGATCACCACCGCACTACAACATCCTATATACCAAGACACAAATCTAACAGATCACTACAACATAACAACATCCTTAATACCAGTTGTAACACTTGTTTTCCTGGATGAATCGAATTAGGGTTTCAAGGAGTCAAAAGGTTCAATTTTGGGAGAAAATAAGTCTCACGATGTGAGACATTGAGGCTCACGACATGAGATAGGTTCATATGAAAACTTTTGTTCAAGACCGGTCTCACGACATGAGACATAGACGCTCATGGCGTGAGAATTGATGCAGCCCAAGCCCATGATCTTTTAGGGTTTCCTTCAAATTTAAGCACCTCTAAACCCATTTTAAGGTTCATTCTCAACCTCTAAACCCTCTTCCACCTCAGAAAACCCTAGATTTCATTCCTTGCTTGATTCTTGGTCATTTGGAGTATTTATTGGCTTGAAGAATAAGAAGAAGAAGAAGAAAAAGAATAAGAAGAATAAGGTGATCTTTTGAAGAGGCGTGAAAGGAATCATCATCATCATCATCACCTCTCATTGTTTCTGGACCCTTGTAAGTGTCAAAGCTCCCACTTTTATAGTTGATAGTTTCTAGATCTAAGTTTGTCCCACTTTTCTCTTTGATTGAGCCAGTTTGAATGAATGGAAACCACAAAGTTGCCAATTTTATGGGTTAAAAGGGCCTAAAGAGGGTCATGAAGTTCAGGTCTAGTGAATGGTTGGGTTTTAGGACCTTGCATGAAAGTTGGATGACTTTTTCTTCGATTATTGACCCAAATGAGATATAGACATGTATTGGACATATATGTCATAAAAGCATCGACTTTCAAGTGTATTATGGAGTTATAAGACCTTTTGGAAAGTTAGAGTGAAAGACTTAATGAATTAATGACTTAAATGTTTGTTTTTTTTTTTTGCTTTAGACTGTGCTCACGACGCGAGACATAAGGTCTCACGACATGAGGATTGAATGATCATGTTTCTGTTAATCAGGGACATTAAGTATTTCAAAAATTATTAAAAAAATTAATAAATATAATTATAACCCGAAAAATATAAGTAAATAAACATAAAAGTTTAATAATAAGGTTAACAAGAACAACAAATCATCATCTACAAGTTCATAATAAGCTTAAATAACTCAAAAATATAAACGTATTTTCTTGTAATATTCTCCACATGCTTTCATTATTGAGAAGTTGTGCCACCGAGTAATCCCCACCAACTAACTATGATTTTGAAATAAAGACATATTATTAATTAATAAATATCAAAAGTTGGGTCTAAAATAGTAAGTACCAACTAAAAACCGGGTATTTTCAAAAAAAAAATCAGGTTTAAAAAGAAAAAAAAATTAAAGTAAAAGTTTTTTTTATATAAATAACCGGTAACAAAAAACAAAAGGGTTATTGTCACTATAGCCCAACCATCTTTCGTATATTAGTTTAAATGGTCCCTCGTGACTATTTTTCGCTTTTAAAGGGCTAATACTTGTAAATGACCGGTCAATATGGTAATTTAACCCACAATTGAAGGAAAAACAAATGTTTGACTTGCCAACTAAGCGGGTGACTCAGCATCGACTTGGACTAGTGTACTTGTCTTCCACCTAAGCCTCCAACTAACCTCGTTTAATGCTTTCATTATTGCTACCAACCCACCAACCACCCTTAAAGGAAAAGGAAGCGTCGGTGGCGGGGGCATAAAGCAGCATCACAAATCGTTGGGGCTTAACCGACACGAACTCGACAAGAAATAAACGAGTTTGGATAGGATATTTCAAACCATTTAAATAAATGGGTTGACACGACACGACATGAAAATTAAACGGATAAGGTTAGGGTTGAGAATTTCAACTCGAAAATGACCTGTTTATTTATATGCAAGTTTTGGGTTCTTTAAATAAACTAGAACGATACAAAACCAAAACCATAAGTAAAAGGAAACATTTTGATCGAGTCGTTTTGTAATGTTGAAAAGATTTAGGATCCAGATCAATGCTTCATTTTTTAGTTTTTCCGTTCTCTCCCAAACTACACAGTCCACTCTCTTATCCTCATGATCTTGTCTTCTGCCTCCCCAACTCCTACTCTTTCCATTTTGTCATCTAAACTTGTTATAACTTTATTTATTCTGCCTCCCAACTACTACATTTTTTCTTTCCACCTGCCCAACTCATATTCTTTCAACATGTTTAATGTTTCAACCTCACATGACATAACATATTTCAAGGTATACGCCTAACACGAAACCTAAGACAAACTCGACACGAAAATAAACGGGTTGACACGACACGACATGTTAATTAAACTGGTCGGGTTAGGGTCAAGCACTTTCAGCCTGTTTAGAGTTTCGACACGACACAAACCCACACAACATGACATGATTGCCACCTATACTTACGTGACACAACCCATGTCACAAGTGCATGTCACCCATTTTATGTATAATTTTGCTATAGTCTTTGTAACTTCTTCCCTAGACCTCCAATGGACACCAAACTTTACCATCTAAGCATAAAGGTTTATTAACTTCTCAAATACTCAATTAATTACTTTCTTCATTATGACTTAATCATTAAGACATTTAGATGTCATAAGAGCTATAAGAAAGCATAAATGACATCTAAGCATCCTAGTTAGCCATTGAGCTTTTAATGACTAAGGTTCTCATCAAACATCATTCTAAACCACTTGGAAAGTCTTAATTATCATCATAGAGATCTTGATTGACATTAAAGTAATCAAATCCATGTATTCCAAGGGTTAGAATTGATGATTCCATAGTTGAAAATCATTGAAACGCTTGATTCCATAACTTTACTTCAAATTCCTTTAAATAGTTTTGATAAATCAATCATAAATACTCCAAACACATAATTCATGAACTATGGTTTCAATTATTGAAAATCCTCATACTAATCCTCATTGAGGTATTATTCAAAACTCTCGTGGATCTTCATTGGAATCTTGATTCTAAATCCATGTGTTAAATGATTGATTTAATTACATAAAACTGTTATGGATTTATATTGAGATTTGACTCTAGACAAAAGATTCACAAATCCCATCATCCAAACACTTAGTGAACCCATAATTAAATTGTGACATCCCCATTTTCACGGCAAAAAAAAACGATTTTGTTTATGCTTTATAAAATTCAGAGTACATCTTTTAATAAAAATGTTGCAGAATTTGTTCCCAGAAAAACATGATAAATATGTTATCAAAGCATTTCCGAAGAAATGTATTTTTTTATTCATTGTAACATCCCAAAAATACAACCCAAAAATTTTCGTTTGAAAACTTTACTAAATCATCATATCAAATATTTAAAAGATAAATCCATGGATCATGTGTTCCAAAATGTCATAATAAGTTTATCAAATCAACTGATGTCAAAACATATCAAAATATCTTAATAAAACTCCCAGGATAAACTGAAGTTGTGGTGTGTGCCATGCCATCATCCCGAGCTCTTCCCCTTACTAGCGGAAGTACCTGAAACCAAAAACTGAAACTGTAAGCACAAAGCTTAGTGAGCTCCCTCAATCTACCACATACCATACAATAACATATAAAGCAACTACTGGGCCTTGCCCACTGCATCGGACCGAAGTCCGGAACTAACTAGGGCCTTGCCCACTGCATCGGACCGAAGTCCGGAAACTGCATCGGACCGAAGTCCGGAACTAACCAGGGCCTCGCCCTCTGCATCGGACCGAAGTCCGGAAACTGCATCGGACCGAAGTCCGGAACTAACCAGGGCCTCGCCCTCTGCATCGGACCGA